TGCTCTCTGTATCATTGTAAAGTACATGTCTTTGGATTTTCGGAGATTTTGGATTTGAAGATGTTACTTTGAGCATTGGGAAATTGGGGGTTGTGAATTTTCTCACATTTTGTGGACGCAACAATGAGTCAATTAATCAGAAAAATGATTGACGGATTAATCAGCAATGCAAATTATAATTTGTTGCAACTTTTATTTGAGTTTGTTGCACTAAAAATGCGCCATTGGCTTTTGGTAACTGTATAACCATTTGAAGTGTATGCTCTCCAAATCATTTTCTCATTTCTTTATATTTTTTTGCCAAAAGGTAGATGAGGAGATTGATATCACTCTCATATGTGTACAGTAAATATGAAGCAGCAGCCAGCAGCCTGTCAAACAGCTGGCCTGGCTCTGTTTCAAGGTATCATATTTTTATTTATTTATTTATTCATCCTTTATTTAAACAGAAAAATCCCATTGAGATAAAATAGCTCTTCTGCCACGGTGTCCTAGTTAAGTAAACTCCTCGTTGTTTGTGCGTTTTCCAATTAACGAAAGTCCAGCCAAACGTGTCAATTTCCTCTCGTTACATGCATAGTGTTTTCAAAATAAACTTCCGTCTTCACAGGACACAACTTAGTTAGGTTTAGGCCACAAAACTACATTTTTAGTTTTAGGCAAAGATCGGGGTTTGATTTAAAATAACTACGGAGTTGGAGTTACTTAAACATGGAAGTTACAAGACAAATGAATCAACATTGACTTGTCGTTTTACACGGGGCACGATCAGCGGCCTCCTGCATTCGACAAAAAAACAATCGATAGACTGTTCGAGTCTGGTTATATAAACCTTGGTGTTTTTTCTGCTAACTCACACTGTTTCTGCCAGACACGACACTATGGGGTCCAACACACACAAACACACACACACACACAAGATACTCTAACAACCTGACCGCACACACACATATATCCTCTGCAAGTATCCCCTGCAGCCTAAATGTCAAGTTACATAAATTGTGTTTTGAGAAAAATGAATGGCCTCATGCTGCCGTGCATAAACAACCGACGTAGGCTAACTCGTGGCCATGTCAGAATAGTTACGTTTTTGATGGAGATTTTTATTTGTGTGCATGCTCGTACAATAGTTTGTTTTGTTCGAGATTGGCAGTTTTTCACCAAGAGAAGAGTCTGTGTTTAGAACATAGTGAGCACACCTCTTCTCTTAAGAGAAATAGGTTATGCTGTGGTTAAAAAAATATATTTTTCCCCCAAGTCTTTCCTCTGTGACACCTGTTGGCATCAATTTAGCTGACGTGAATCTAAAGCTCACACTTTTTTCCATCAACCTCTCAAGCCTATATGTTTGTAAATGTTTGATTGGGAAGACAGATTTTGAGGGGACTACTACTTTCACATATTTTTTTCCCTGTGCCTTCTAGAGCTCGCTGTGCAAACGTTTGACCTTTGCAACACAGTGTGTGCTACTTTCTGCATTACAGTGGAAGTGAGAAAAAAAAAAACATACATACGAACATACAATTTATCATTTTTGGGAGAGTGAGATGTGAAGATTGATATCTATCTCAGCTATTTTAACAGGTTTATTTTGATTTGTTTGTTGTTGATTTGAATTTTCCTCAAGAATTCCAGGCAACGCGGTCAGTAATTGATATACAAATGGTCATTTTAAGGGTCCCAGCACATAACTTGATACAGTATGTTGTTTAGTGAGCTTTAGCAAGAGCGGTTTTCTCCCTAATGCTAAGGTAGGCTAACCAAATCTTGACTCTAGCTTCATACTTAAAACACTGACAAAGGAATGATTTCAATGTTCTCATCTAACCATTGGAAATAATGAAAAATAATGGCATTGCCCCAAATATTTAATGAATGCTCATTTTGACATCACAGGGCCACTTTGGGATCAAAATGTGACGACGTGGAGGTTGATGAGAAGAAAAGAGGGGTGGGGGGTTGTGGTGAGGAAAGCAGACAGAAGGAAAGCAGAGAGGAGAATGAGGAGCCTATCAAATGAACCCGACAGTGTAACTCAACCGCAATCTGCCACCGAAGACACAAGAGAAAGTGGGTGTCATCTGCCGGCTTGAGTCATTCAAAAACATTCACGCCAATCCCAACTAGATTAACTCACTTGTCATGTGCCACTGATGAACTCGTCAACTGGTGAAACAGAAGCTAGAGGGATTTAAAAAGCAGTCAGTGGAGGAATGAAATGGATGGTATCAGATGAACAGTGGGTTCATGTGTCACAGCGAGTGACACATTTTACATGAGACAGAGATCAGCCGGCTGGCGGTTGACGGAGCTGTCAGACGGTGCCCCGAGGATAACATCTTACCGACACATGATAATGGTAAAAGTTTGAATCAGTCTTTAGCTGGATGTAGACTTTTTAGCAATTTGCTGTGTTGCTGCTGCAGCCATGTGAAAACACACCATATGATAGTATATTCATTATATCCAAATATGTAGAGAATTATGTAAACATTATTTTTTTTTTTTAACTGCATCTTTCAGGGATACACATATTCTACAATTTGGATTGTTCTACATATACACACTTCCCTGGTATTCTCCCAACCGATGTTTGTCAAGTCCTGTTGGCTAAATAATTCACGGCTTTAATCTCTTACTCTTTGACATTTCCAACCCGTCAATTAACGCAGCTTGGTCAGTGTTCCTCGGTGTGTCTGCCTCCGACGCTCATCTAGGTTATTTATGGGCAAAGGCAACTGACGTGGTGTTAAGTGCGAGATAGTCCACACGGGGCAAGTTGTATAGAGGCGGATGGGTCAAACAAACTCTCAGGACTTTTATCCAGGAGACCGCTGTTCATTTCCTGTGCAAAAGTAAAAGTAAAGATGACGTTTTTTTTTCTCAAGTGAGTCGTAAGTCACCTGAATCACGAGAGTCGCTTGTCAAATGACTCTTTAGGCACACGGTAGTCAAGTGAGTCTAAACGACTCACTTGTTTGTGTCAATCGCACTCTTTTCCTAAACCTAACGAGGTGTTTTTGTTGTCTAAACTTAACTTCCTGTGAAGGACCTTCAGTGTACTACTTTTAGTACTTTGACTTCAACTGAGACTCAACTTTACTCAGCACCGACACTTCCACTTTAGCACGAAGGTTGTTTAGCACTTCAATTGTATCCTATGTTTAAAATTGTTTCCATAACTGTGTTGTAACTGCCACTTCAATGTTTTCATTATTTAAGCCATTTCAAACGTTCAAATGCAAACTTTCAGCAGCATGAGCATGTAAATTAGCTTTTTGTTTCTCTCTGCAGTTTACACTTTATACTCTCAGTGCTTACGCTTCAACTGACACTTCAACTGACAACTCCTTTCAGTTCATACAATACAACTGGCATTTGTTTCTTACAGAACTTCCACTTCAACACTCCCAATGCAATTTATCGACTTCCACTCCTGTCAGTGCTTGAACGTCAACTGAATGACTGAACCTTCCAGTTGAACATCTTTCAGTTATTGCTTTTCGACTGCCAATTCAACTTTAGCCAAATATTTTTTCAGTATTTTGGATATTTCAAAGGTTTCACCAGCAATTTTTTTAGCAGTGAGCAAACGTGAATTTCGAATTTTGTTGTTCTCACTGCGTCTTCCAGCAGAATACTTACCTTCCTGTTTGTATATTTCCCCTTTTACACATCCACAGTTATTAGGTATTCCCCCCACTGATGCTAATAGTACTCATGTTGGGTAAACATTGTGGCCCTTTTCTCTGTATTCATAAGAGCATTTCCCCTGTGGGTGAAGATATAATGTTTATTCTGTAGACACAGGCTCTGTGGACAATGCTGTACATGCCACACGTACCTTCAGAACACCAGGGTGTGGAATAATCGTCAGAGAGCGAGGAAAACCAGTGCAAAATGATAACCTTTGTTATTTGTTAATTCTCCTGGTCTAGTAGGTTTGACTTGTCAGTGACATAAACGAGGAGAGAAGTGTTCAAATCAGATTCTCACTAAATGATTAATCTGGCCAAAATAATTCATGATGACGATATGATTGCGATATAACTTTAATAATAATGTTATCAGTTAAATTCATCTTTAACTTTGCTTATTGGGCGTTTTTGTCTCTTTTTTGGCAAATGAATTACACTCAAAATCTGAGGGAGGTGGGGAGAGAGTGTAACCATAATTGTTCAAAAGTGTGATTTAAGAGGCGGTGGATTTACATATGTGTTTTATTAACATGTCATCAATATTTCATTTTTTAAATATCACTGTTATCGTAAATACCGGTATTACGCAACACCCCTAATCCAGTCTAAACACACCGGAATAAGCCTACAGAACGATAAGCATATGTAGCTATATAATTGTAGAATGTTAACTCCTCCTAACCCCAATACAATGGAGGTGAATGGAGCACGATCGTTGCTCTTGATAATCCGCAGACCTCGTAGTTAAACCCCTAAAAACTCTCCAGTGTTTCATGAAAAGGGAGGCTGCTGTTAAATATTCCACATGTCATTTATCATTGCTGCGAGCACTACAAACTAGATTCCATTCACCTCCATTCATTTGGCTGGATGCAAAAACCTCAGAGACAGATATTGCTAAAACTTTCACGGATAAAACCCAAACAATCTGCATAGTTAAACACCATTAGAGGTAGGTGAGAAAATGTGGGAATTATTTTAGTTTTTTGTTTGTTTTTGTATAATTTGGCTGAACTAACCCTTTAAGAGACCCCTGAAGGAACATTTGGAGGTATGCATTACTGAAGGGTAACTTGAGCTGTGTAGCCATTTTGCTCCGTACATCCAGGTCTCTGTTTCATCCGGTCATCATTAATGCAGGAGTTCATGCAGGAGCGATCGAGAGAGCAGCAATTAAACACAACTATGTGTGGCGAGAGGGGGGGGGGGGGGGGGTCATCTCTTAACTGAGGTGAGAAAACGCTGCTCCAAAATAAAACATTGTCAGTCACGCCAAATAAAGCCACACTGAGAGCCAAATAGGTTTTTGCTCTTTATTTAAACACTAACAGTCATGTGAGATAATGTGCCGACTGGCGTTGCGATGCAGCCACAGTGCGTCCAGTGTGGCCCCACAAGAGTTGCTGATCTAGAGCCACCTAGCAGGCTGAATGTCGAGGACTGAGAGGCCCCATAAAATGTCCCTGATCAAGTGACGTATAAATCAGCTACACATTTTGGTATTTGGATACAGCCAACAGCTAACTCCACAGAAATAGGTTTCATCAGTGTGTTACAAGGTTATTCGTTCTCAACATTTTACAGTCAGACAAAAGTCAACCATGTATACGACTTGACATCACAACAGCCTGACACAAAACAGAGATTTAGTTTAAGGACGATCTCGAAAGTTCTCTGCTAGCTTCTGTTTGAATTTTCTGCTGCTCCGAAGGGAAGCTAACTTTTTTTTTTTTCCAGGATGTAAAAAAGTGAACTGAGGCTTAAAATAGTTTACCCTTAATGTCACAGCGTTCAGAGACACGTCTGTGGGACGTCTGAAAACTTCTTAAAAATCAAATCGTACAAGGTGTTCGTACTCACAGGTAGACTAGAACGTGCGGGCCTGGCACCATTATTAAGACTTAGATAAAAGCACTGCATCATCAAGTGAGTAACGTAGGAAGAGCCAAGGAGGCCAAAAACACATGACGCCCAATGGTAATTGTAAGTGTTTTTGGACTTCCTGGCTCCCCATATATTGTTAAATACATTTGTTAATGAAATGATAAGGATATAATCAGAACCATAAAATTGCTGAACCGCAGATATCTAATGGGCAGGCCCACATTCCTGATGTGTTCCATTTTTTCTTACACGATCACTCGCGCCATCTGATAAAGCCGTCCTTCTGACGGAGGAAATAATTCCTCGTTTTGAACTTCACGGAAACGTAAAGCTTTCCTCGTCTGCTCCTCGTTTACTGTTGAGTGAGAGATGCTTATCGGGGGAAACGAGCCACCGTCAGAACTGCCAAGCTGACGTTAGGTTCACTTGTCACGGGGAGATTTTATATTTTTAACAGAAAGCCTGGGTCTAATTAAAGATAAGGTTGCATTATGGGAAATGTAGAATCCTGTGTTTTGAGGGGCTTGACCCTTACTAGGAACAAAGAAATTAGGATATCTCAGTCTGCGCAGCTTGAATTTCGACCATTCTTTTTTAAATATGTCTCTTGTGAGTCCCTCACATTGATGGGAGTGAGACACTAAATCGCTGGAGTGCCCCTTTAAACACAGCTGTTTTACCAGGAAGATACCACACTGAATTGGCTTTTTACCACATTTAAACCAGGGATGTAAAAATATAAATCTGGAGGAATAATAACATTAAAAAGTTAAGAGAAGACAAAAAAAATATTATGCCCCATAAAATTATGTTTTAGGATATTTTCTATTTTTTAGGTGTCTATAATTATTCAATTTAAATGATTGCTTGCTTGAAATGCTCACAGCTCAGAGAAATATGCAACTTTTGATGAGGGGGTCGGTATTGTTTTAAAGGGCCACAAGCCAGAAAAGGTTGAGGACTACTGCTTTAAAACAACAGTGAAACAGCCGCAGAGGAGCTGCGACGACCTAAAGTAAGCACCACGTTATTCACAGCGTGTAGGATATGACTCAGCTCTCAACTTATTTAATAAATAGGACCTTTTTTTGTGCTTTAAAGACGGACACTATTCATACTGAGGACAATGTCAAAGCGATGTACTCTGCTTAGTCAGCAGGATATGGATCAGTGTTAACAACTCCGATCCACAAAGTCTTTTCCAGACACGGATCAAATTTTAGAGTAGCAGTGGTTCTGGTATTTGACTGGCTATGAATCTTAACTTTAAAGAGGCTGCAGTGAACTGATCCCCAACTTTTGCATTGAAAAAGAGCTTTCATAGCACATTTGTAGCTGACCCAAACAGCACTTTGCTGCATTAAGGTGCTCTTGATGACGACCTTTTAAAGGAAACCTGTCCGTTCAGAGTACAACACTCAGCTTTATTAACTTCCAGTGGCTTCAGCAGAAAGTCAGACTGTATCCTGACAAAAAAAGCAAGCTGTCATTAACTCTTTGTCAACCCGAGCTTACCTCAAAGTTAGTTTCTCGCTGCAGACTACAGACTAAAGTGGCTTATCATCACACTCCTCTAGAGCTGTTTCTCTTAACGAGTGGTACTTTGTTGACACTCTCATGGAGGTCAAAGGTCAGCAATGGAGCAACAGGCCTATAAAACCTTCTTAAGCATGCCTCCTAGCTTATTGTGCAACTACGTATAAGAATTATTGCTATAGAATACAGTATCCATGCTGAGGTGCATTTTGGGTAGGGAGGAACATCTCCCTGGTATTGCCAACACTGACTCTCTCTGCCCCTGAGTTTGTGGCTTTCCGTTGCGTAAAAACGTGCTCGCAAACAAAAAGCGAGTTTACACCAGCGACTCGCACACGGGTGGGTTGTCGGAGTCCTGGCTGTGCATGGAGCTCAGGCCCGTGTCCGAGTCCTCGTCGTTTGTGTTGCAGGCCTTGGACAGACCCCTGGCCTGCTCCACCCAGACGCTGCTCTTCTCCGCGGACGCAGGCTCGTCCTCGGCGCCCGCCGCGTCCGGCTCCGCCTCGCTGTCACCAGTCAGTGTGCTGTCCGCCTGCTCTATCTCCATGGTCTCAACTTTGGCCAGAAGGTCCAGAAGTTCGCTCTCCCTGGTCTCCCAGAGGGCCATGCTCAGGTCCAGGTCCCCCCTGATGGCGTCCATGTCCGTCTTCAGCCGCAGGCCGATGTACAGGCTGGTGTCCAGCTGCGTTTTGATCCTCTCCTCCTCCAGCACGAACTCGTCCTCGGATAAGCTGTCCACATCTGACTCTGCAGGTGGAGCGGCGGGAGACGCTGCCGCGCGCATCTCCTCCGCAACGCCGCTCGTGACCTTCACCGCGTCCGCTCCCCTCTCGCCGCGCCGCCGCTTCATCCACCGCCGGTTGAGCTCCTCCTGGATCTCCCCGGTGATGCACTCCACGAGCGCCTCGCGCTCCGTCAGCTCCTCCTGCAGCCGCACCACCTCCTCGCAGCGGCGCGCGTACTCCTCGAACTGCGCGACCGCCTCCGCCGCGCACCGCGCGTCCTGCTGCTTACAGTCCGAGAGAGCGGGAGCCTCCGAGGAGGAGGAAGAGGAGTCCACCATGTATGTGTCCTGCACATAGTTCACCCCGTGTCTCTTGATGCGGTCGAAGTGCACTTTGGCCTCGTACCGCTCGATATCCCGATCCAGCTCCTTGACCCTCTGGACCTGCTGGCGGATGGTGTGGTCCTGGGAGATCACCATGTGAACCAGCGTCTCCATCTTCTCCGCGGAGCCCTGATCTTTAGAAACAGGCTGCTCTTTCTTTTTGTTCATCTTATCCAACTTCCTGAACGCCTTCCTGACTATGCGCCTCTGTTTCTCCTGGGACAGGTTGGCGGCGGCGGCCGCGGCGGTCCAGCAGGTCCTGGCGGTGCCCCTCAGCCCGCCGCCCGGGCCGCCGCTCTCCCGGCTCCGGACCACCCGGGCCTCGGCGCTGCGGGGCCCGTTGTTGGGCAGCGACGCCTCGTTCTTTACCAGGACGAAGCGCACGTTCTCCTGCTCGTCCCCCCAGGCGGCCCACAGCCGGAGGACTTTGGTCTTGTTGGGCAAAATCCTCTCGAAGCCCCTCCATTTCTCCACTACGCAGTAGGACTGCGGGGAGCCGGACAGCATCGCCGCCGAGGCGCCCTGCTGCAGGTTCTGGTCCTCCAGCAGGACCCTGACCACGTCGGCGCAGGTGGTCCGCTTGGTGAGCCCGGAGACGAGCTTCTCCTCCCGGCAGACCCACACGGAGATCTTCCCCTCCTCCGGCTCCATCTCCGGTTCGACTCAACAACAACAAAGTTTCTGTTTGTGGCAAAACTCAAAGAGTAAAAGGAGAAGAAAGTAGTCCGTCGCTACATTTGGAGTCGAGTCAAAACAGATTCAGCATATGCGATGAGAGAAACACATCCTCCGTGCTCCTGTCGCCGTTTTATCGGTTCCCACTTTGAATGCGCTCGGTCCGAACATGACATAAGCAGAGCAATGACATCCGCTCACATTCTCCCTGCGGTCTGTTCCCGGTGCTGCCTGCCGGGACATCACCTCTCTCTCTCTACTCCCGGCAGATCGTTTTCCAGCCCTGCGCACTGCTCCGGAGAGGAGAGGAGAGGAACCGGAGCGTCCGTGTGTGTCAGGGCCGGCTGCTCGCTCTGCTGTGTGTGGGACGAAAACACGACAGGGGTGCTGGAACGGCTGGGACACGCCTCCCTCACCCGCTTCTTCCGCCTCTCTCGCTCTCTCTCTCTCCAAAATGAAGCTGTAGCCTAAATTACTCTGGATATTATGATTTTTCATGCAGAATACAACCGTATATAAAGTAGCATAGCTCCACCTACACTATGCTTATACAGCATCAATAATGCAACAATAAAACATGCTGTACATGATGATATAACACCAGTGAAAGGAGGCATTATTCAAGCGCAGTTTTGTGGAAATACTTTTACTTGAAGTTTAGTTTTGAGTGCAGAACTTCTACTTAATGTTTTTGTCTAACTAATTAAAACGCCTAAAAACGGTCCTAATTATTTTCTCCATAACATTTATTATTAATCGGATTTAGCTCCCAAGCAACAGGAGCAAACAGCCCTGAAGCCAGTGTGAAGAGCACAGACATCTTCACAGAAGGCAAACGTCTTTTTATGAATAGCACTACAGGAAAGAAAGAAACATTTATTTTAGATTTTTGGGGTGAACTGTCCCTTTTAAACTCACAATCCCTGACTCAGCTGGTGTCTTGTGGTTTATTATGTCTAGTAAAAAAATTGACAGTACTCATTAATGAAGTAATAACTGGACTTCTCACATATTTTGATGATATTTGCAGGGAAGATGAGTTCAAATTCAGACCTAATGAAATTGCACATTGACAGTGAAGAAATGACATCGACGAGTTTCTGGGGATCTAATTGATGACAAAATCACTTGGACGGATCATAATAGTTTTGTTTGCAAAAAGGTTACGAAGAAGAGGGAGAGTTTGACCTTTACTAAGTTCTTCTTGTCTTCTAACATTAGAGTACGGCCTGATATACCTGTACCTCACTGTGATAATAAGCCTTTCCCCACACACCTTCATAAAATTCAACTTTTCTCAAAGTCGGGTGCTGCAACTTCTCCACTTTCCTTGAAATGTGTTGTATATGTACACACGGACTCGTACTTATTCTACTTTATTCTTTGTGTCTATATGCAAGATGAGACTCAAAAGTGCTTTGATGTAAAAAAAAAAAAAGAAAAAAAAAAAAGAAGATTCTGTATTAAATAATCTTGATTTAGTCTTAAACCTTTTTTGCAGGAATCTATAGAAGCCTAACTTGTAAAAGTATGATGCATCGTCTTTTATTTTTTATTTTATATGGATTTCTTGGATAGTTCTTTGAGATAAGCACCTATCGGCTGCAGGTATTTTATTTCTATTCACTTTTTCTCTTACCTCGAACAAAAAAAATATGCAAATAATACATATTTGTGCCCAGAACTGAGCAAATTATTTGACACTGTACTTCTGTGGATGTATTTAATAGTGTTTCTCCCACACAAAGTAGGACTCAGGTCTCCAGCCAAGAAGAAGCACAGACTCAAGCTAAACCCCAGATGAAGCCCTTACTCAGCAGTGGCGTTGCACTGTAGCAGTATGCATTGTTACACAGCTTCATCTTCATAATCCCCACGTGGCCTGAGCGTCTCAGTGTGGTGAAGCTCAGCCGGACTGATCATAAAGCACAAATAAATGCATCTATTGCACCCTGCAGTCTGACCCCGTAATCTGCCCCTTTCAACTATTTCAGCACCGAGTATGGCCTCCGAGACCCATAAAGGGATTTATGTGCATTAAGAGATGTTTGTGTGTGCGTGTGTGTGTGTGTTGAGTGTTACATTAAAAGTGTTTTATCGCCGCCAGCCACCATTAGTCCGTTTGTGTGCTCTAACCTCGGCTCAGATTTGACGCACCAGGCCAGGTTTGTTGATGAAATAACCGCGTGGAAAACCATCTGGTGGAGTGCAACCACACGCTAATGCATGTGTGTGCACGTATCGGACGCAAACACGTGGCATTACTCACAGGCCGTGCACCGCTAAACAAACACGAGATTCTGGATAGAAGAGGATTGTCGGTGCTGCGTCTGGGATGCGAGATTACAGGTTTTTCCCATATCTGTGCTCTCGTTTCCTGTGAGGTCATCCCTACTGTCTCGGTTTGGTTCTTCCAAAGTCTTTACAACACATAAAAAAGTTCCAACGTTGGTGAATAGAAATGTAAGTTTGAGGTGAGTTTTTTTGCCCCTTTGTGGTTTAAAAGTGTATTGAGGACTATGCAGAGGTCTAATCCATCAAACATACTGAGATTTGCTCATACTTCCATTATCCTAATAGCAAATAAAAACGAATGATTGGGGCTATTAATGCACATGTGTGCATGAAAGTGATGCTTGAAGTGGATCATGCCTTGATTGAGCAATAAAGAGCTTTGGGTTGAATTCTTTGAGTATGATTCCCTCTGCTGTTCATAAAGGGAACTACACCGCTTGGAGTCACAGTCACGAGCCGCAGCTCTCTGTGTGTTAACATTCATTTATGACAAAATCATTTTATGTTTTGTTTTTTTATCAGTTGCTTTGGCAAACGTTCCAAATGCTTTTCTTACATACAAGGTATGGTAAATAATAAAAACTACAGTATATCAAAAAATTACACACACGTGTCATTAAAAAGTCATATTTCAAAAAATCTTAAAAAAATCATAGTGAAGTAGGTCATAAAAATGTAAATATATAATGTAAATAAATATATCACTAAAAATATATAGTATAGTATGTAGGAAAAACGACTTTAAACAATTCATAGTATAATATTCCATTAAAAGTCATAGTAAAGTACGTTGAAAGACATCTAGTATAAATGTCGGAGTATAGTATACCATAAAAAAATCATAAAAGAGCCATAAAAAATAACAATAAAAAAATAATATTCCATATAAAATTCATAGTCATACATATTCAAAATCATAACAGTGTCATATAAAAGTAATTATATAGTATAGTAGCCTAATCACAGTATAGAATTTAATAAAAAATGTCATAAAACACTTATTGTATAGAATACAAAAAAATCAATCTTGTGCTGTCTCCTTAAAGCAGCACTAATCTGTAACTGTGGTATGAGTTGTTGTAGAAGTTGCTTTAGTAGTTGCAGATACATATGCATGTGAAATGAATATGAAGCAAATTCTGATGCTGTTCCTTCTCTTCTTTTCTCTCCAGATGAGTGCAGAGATCCAGACCAAAACTGAGGATGTCAGCGTTTCTCAATTCATCCATATCTTTGTTGCATTCTTCTCCTGTATGAATGTACTCAGGGGGGTAAATGTACTCAGAGGGGTCATGAGTCCAGGGTCTTCTCTTCTAAATTAAAAAAAAAGTAAAATTTATTAAAATGGTGCTCTGATCATTGTTGTCATGACTTTTTTGTACTTTTTCAAAAAGTATATGACTTCATGACTTCCAACGTATATTTCAAGGTTTTTATGGCTTCTTTTTTTTTAATGCAAACGATACTGAGTACTGTTCTGAAACCAGTGTTTAATTAATAAACGGTATGCCTCACAGTGTGGAAGAGAATAGGATCATTCTTGTATGAGTAAGGCAATATCGGGCTTAACTTAAACATTGCTTTCTTAAATTAGTAGAAAACTAACTATAACAAATAAATACAAATATATATATACATTTACAGAATTGTTTTTTTATTAAAGTCATGGTATCCAATACCAGATCACCTCATCTTCACCTATACCTGATCCAGCTATGTGGATCAGTATCGGACTAATACCATTATAATGTTAATATCTGTACAATGGATTTTTTAATAACTTCTTTTAAGGTACTATACTATGACTTTTTAATAACGTTTTTCGGCATACTGTACTATGACTTTCTTATGATTTTTTTGATATTACTTTTCTTTTACTTTTTTGACTTACAATACTGTCTTTTTTATGATTTTTTTCAACATACTATGCCATTTTTATGACTCCTGACACACCATACTATGGTCTAATAAATGGTGTTGTTATGCCTCTTTTGATGTAATATACTCATTATACTCATTATTCTCAATATACTTATTATACAATTACTTTTTTGCAAACTATGGGCACTCCTCAAATTGATCTGAAAGATCCACATTCCCATAAAAACATCCACAGAAAACAAACAAAGAATCCTTTTTATTTACCTCCCCCATTGCCATATATACTGTATATGTGTGTATGTATAGTGTACCATGAGAAATGGTTTGATAAAAATAATCAAACGGCCTTTCAGAGGTGAATTTAAAATGTTTCCTTTGTTTTCAGTGGACTCAGAGTTCAGACTATGGAAGTTACAGTTAATGTGGACTGATGAGTAAAGACAAAAACCCAGATCACAGTTTGGAACTGACCATTTATTTAAACTGAATAGCATATGCGTACAAAGTCTCTACAAAGCTAGAAAATATCTAACATACTTTTAGCCATGAGGGGAAAAAAGTTACAAAGCAAAGATCAGACCCTGTGCAGTACCAATAGACAACCATTACTAGCTTTTAGATTTCCCTAAATGTTCTCTCTTCTTCGCAAAATAGGATAAACATTAGAATATCAAAGATATACACAACATCTGTAATAAACGGTATTGTCACCTTTATATAAAGCACCTTATCAAAAACCCTCAGCGCAGATACAGATGTGCTGCAAAATGCACCGGAGTGAAAAGAGTCAAGGCCATTTCGGAATAGATTACAGACAGGACTTCTGTGCGTCGTGTGGTTCTGAAAAGAAGATAAATATCCACCTTGCACATACGAGACGACATTAACAACACGGACGACGATGACTCGGAAACTCAGCAGCTCACCGAACTTTGAAACCTTTTCAATAACCTTTAGGCATGTATACATGCCTAACATGTATGCATGTATACATTTGCGTTTTGTGTGACTTTCTCACACATTCTCTAGTATGAGTGGACATTTAACAGTAAAGCCCTAAAGTTGAGTTCTTGTTAAGTTTAACAGACATTTGGGGTTTCCCGTGGCATTCTTCTGTATAAGAATATCTCCAGCCTTCCAACCATGATGGTAAGGTGTTCAAATTAAAAATCTTTAAAAACCAAAATATGTTAATGCACAATTTTCTAAACCAGGTAAAAAAAAAACAACACAAAAGGTTCTGTAACCCTACTTCCATTAGTTTTTGTTTATTTTGTTGTATGTGTTACTTACATCTGTACAGTTTACAGTGTAGCATGAGCTACAGATGTTTGGAGGCTGATAGTCCTTTTTTGGCAGAAGCTTGTAATTTACTCTAGCTTGTAATAAATCCATTTTCCTTTCGTGTCACATGATGACTGTCTTTGGTAAGCAGGTGGTAGATAATGTCCAGACAAGGGTCATTATTGCAAAATCAGCCCCTTTAAGGCTGCGCGTTAGGTTATCGTGTACATGTTACTTGTTAGTTCGGTGCTGTGAAGGTCTAGCAGTCCGCCTGCGAAACAACTGATCACTGTAGTGTGAGACAAAAGTCGGGGAAAGTTGAAGCCAGGGCCATTTTGAAAGGGGTTTTCCCGGCAGAATGACTCACCGGTGTGTTGAAAGGATTGCGTTTTTTGTTGGACACCTGAGGTGTCTCAGAGTTACAGACACTCTGAGACACCCACACGAGTCTTCAAACAAATAGTCAAAAACTCGAAGTTTTTTTCAGCACAGATGGTCGTTCCACAACAGTCAGATCCGAGTCAGGCATGAGTAATCGTTATGAGCAAATACCTCTAGTTCTGACTAAAGATGGCTCATTTAATGTTTGGTAAAATGGTAAAAGTTTCCCTAAACAAAAACTAAATTACTGGGTATTCTGGACACTACATATCCGTATAGCTGGTGTGACAGAATAACACATCGCTGTGAGATTTCACACCGCGTTAACCAGCATACTGTATTCTTCATTGTTGAAGACAGTCGCTACATTGTTCTTCAGATTCTATTTTACAATTCTTTTTTCAGCAGCTATGTGAAGATACACCAAACAGAATTGGTCTTCTCTAGTTGTAACAAGTCTAGGTTGCATTTTATGAATGAGGCACCAGAACAATAAATAGTGTGCAAGCCGTTTAGACATCAATCTGTCACACATACACGTAGAACCACAAATGCAAATACGTGTAAATGCAGCCGTAAGATGGAACCTCAATGTAAATATGGACGTAATAATATTTCAGACTTGGAACACATTTGTCAGTATGGGCATGCTGAAGCTCAAGTTAGCTGGTGCAAGAATATTGAACTAAGCGAAGGTTTAATTTGCAGAGAGAAACCTGATCAGATGAAATCATAGGTTTGTTTTAACAGTTTGACACGTTTCCTTCCCTTGTACACAATGAGTGACGTTGTTGTATAGTTTTAAAGATTCACAGTGCTTCCCAATGGACGGACCACAATACATTTTTTATTTAAAGTTATAATCCTTAAGATTTTCATGATATCAAACCGTTGTTTATGGGTTTTTTGGTAACATTTTCTGGTCTGCATTTTTTCAGCAATAGCCAATCAAAGTATTATACTTCTGCAATTACCTCTCGATATGGTAGTTTTTATTGTTAATGGCGAGGTCCGCCATTCCTGGGCTGGTTTCAAATTGCCTCACAGGACACATGTATGTTTGTAATTACTGTTTGTAATTTTATCTCATTGACATGAGCCCCCAATATTTAATGTTCACCCTCCTATAGCCGTATTAAGTTACTGCTAATGCTAACCTAACATTTCCTACTGCTGCTGCTTCATATTAAAAGCTTTCAACAGACAAAACATGGAGGGGCTTTTATTGTGAAGCGCTGACAGGAAGCGTAAAGCAACTGTCACTAAGGTCAAAACCGCCGGGCCTGCACTCTTAAGGATTATAGCTTTAACGCACGTATTTATTTATTCAATCTTGATGAAGAATCATTAGTTGCACAAAATGGTACCTGAATTGTTCAATTTCACTTATACTTTCTTATCAACATAAATTTTAGATAGTGTTCCTGGTTAAAATATAGTCTATATGCTTTTATCAATAAACAATTTCCCAAAGTTTTGACGCTATTGTTTTTTGTTTGTTTGTTTGTTGTTTTTTTAAAGAAAACATACAAAAAGGTAAAAATCTGATTTCCTTTCTTTGGGGACAAACCTCTTTTTTTGTGCAACAATGCAGTTCACACAATTTGCATTTTATCTGTACAAAACTCCTCTACACCGTACAATATGATAACGCAGTAGTGTCATTTCCATCTCTGGTTATTGATGATACACAGGGTCTGACCTTCAGTGTCCGTCAGTATCTCGGCAGATAACACACACACACACACACACACCTTTGTCACAGGCGACAATTGTAAGATTCTTTTGTTTTTTCCGTCCCTGGGTTGACTTTCCCAAATACACGTGACAGAAGTATCAATTTCATTGCCATCTACAGTACAGAAAAGTATTTATTGGGGAAAAAGAGGGGAATAAACCAATTAGCAGGACACATGATATCTCCAGGTGATATCAGAGTCACAATGTTTTTTGGGGGGAAAACCACACAGGTTGATTCCGGTGTGCTTCACTGTGCTTTTTACAGCTAATAAGTATCTGCTAATCCGATTGGCGTTATGATTTATGAGTGGAAATTCTCTGGTTGAGGAGAATTCTGCATCATGCCTGATGTTAAATAAAGAAATGATCCCAATCTTGTTGTGGGGTTTCGTGAGCAGCAGTGAAAATGCAGCCGTTTTCTTCCTCACCAAGTGGAGTTGTTTGGCTGAAAGACACTTAAGTAGTATTCAGTTTTTTTGACATTTTACCTCCAATGTCACCGTTAATCATCAAGCAAAAAGGCCATATATGTGTGTGTGTGTACAAGAGTTATTCCTTGACGAGTCGATAGATGTGGTGCTGAGCTCCGTGCTCATTGTTGGACACCTCAAACACACACGCCATACAGAGCAAGGTCTCCTGAGTGTCTCTGTTGCTGACAACCTACACACACACACACAGGAAAGAAATCATTTTTAAAAGTTAGGTGTTGAAAATGTATCAAGATACTACAGAAGCCCCGAGAGCCAAGTGAGAAAAAGGGTTTTTGTTTTTTTGTCAGGATGGTGTTGTCTTATTTCAGCCACAAGAGGCTACCATATTACTACCAGTTACAATACATTTCTATTTAATAGAAAGACATGACAGTAATTTAAATAATCTAGTGTGCTGGGGAGGTAGTGCCAAATAGTTTAATCGAATTATAAAAATATATTTTTGCGGTTTTGCAAGTCACTTTTGCTCAAGAATTCACATAAATAAACCACATAGTTCAAATAAACGAAGCATAGTTGCAAAGACTAGTTATGTTTGAATATCACCCTGCCAATTACGATAAATCAGCTGACAGTGGTATAGCATACTAATGCCGTGTTCACACCAAACGTTAATTCGTGCCGCCGGTCTCGTCGGGGACTATTTGTGTTCATTCGCGTGAATTGTGCTGGACGTGCCGGAGAGGGGGCGTGGCTTATCGCCCTGGAAGCCGTTCAACTGTCCGCCATCAACCGTGGAAAAAACAACCTGTATTTCTGCTTAGTACGTGTTGTGGAAGTCACAGATATCATGGGAAACTAAACGCCGTCATGTCTGGTTCATAGCATTGTCCAGAGGAGCTCCGTGAATTTTATCGAAGTGTATTCACTGTCTAGCAAGCCACACGTCGCTGTTTACTACAGCTGTATGAACACAAAATAAACTGATTTGGCTGTGATTTAACGGCAATAAACCGACAAAAAGGGACTCCGAAATAACAGTGATGCCGATTTGTAAAAAGTCTGAATTCATGTTTAGTATTTCTCTCCGCAAGGTTTACACACACACACACACACACACAGAGTTTGGTCCGGTCTCTACTAATATTATCGTAGAGCTCTGGGTGAACACAGACGGCTACAGTATTTATTTCCCGATTCAACAACGGCAGGACGTCAGTGATGACAGGAGTAACATCTCAACGCTGATAGGTTATCGCGCCGCAGCGTCACGCCATTTCTCCGCCGAAGTTGAAATATTTCAACTCACGCGTTTGGAGCATTTGTGGCGTTTTGGCGATTGACGCAAATCACGCCGCGCCAAACAGCCGAGTATATTTTTTCACCTTTTTTTGTTTTGCGGTGTGTTATTTTCTCATTTATTTTGGAAAGGTGGTCATTTTTTAAGAACCGAAAGAGGCCTTAAGTCACAAAGGGATCAGAGTCTCTGGTTTAGAGTGCATGGACAAATTCTAACTCACCTGGAAGAAAACATGAATGCTTTCAATCCTATTTAAAACATAAATATTACAACAACAAATGCTGAGAGAATGATCCTGACAAAAAATAATAATAATGACTTTTAGAGACAATCATTTTTAACAACAATTAAAGAAGATTCAGTTGAGACTTAGAAATAGGATTGTTTTTCGTTTTTCTCACTTGCCTCTAAGGGGCTTCCAGAACATACACACATACAAAAAGCAGACATTGATTTATTCATACTATAACACCCCCCCCCCCCCCCACACACACACACACACACAAACACAAACAGACACATACATTGACTGCCCTCACCAGCAGTATAGTGAAGTTCTCCAGCACACTGTTCATCATGTATTTCTCCGGCAGGTGCTTGAGCTTGTGGATGAAGTTGATCATGTATTCACACATCGGAGAGCGACTGATTCTGTAGACGAAGCGGCCGTTTTCAAACCTCGCGTACTCCGTCTGAGAGAGAGAGAGAGAGAGAGAGAGAGAGAGAGAGAGAGAGAGAGAGAGAGAGAGAGAATTATTTTCAAGCATCTGCTTTTTTTAATATTTGTTGTTCAGGTTTGACTTTTGAGTGTTTCTGATTTCTTGGTTTCTGAAGTGTATACCTGAGTTTGATTTTATTTAAAAATACTGTTTAAAGCCAGTGAGCCAGTTCAGAAGAGCAAATCTTAAAGCTCTGAGGATAATGATAAATAACAATAATAATAAATATATAATATAATAAAACTATATTTGGATTCCAGTGATAAAGGGCAGCACATCACACATTTATGATCCCGGTCTATTGGTCAACAAAGCGTCCTCACCTCCACCTTCTCGACCACCTGCTTGCCGAAGGAGCAGACCTTGGTGGAGCAGGTGATGGTCATGTTCTCCGAGCTCTCGTATTGGCTGCTGACGCCATAGAAGGCAGCCGGGTCGTCCTGCACATTGTAACTCAGGTCGGCCTGGCAACCGCAGAAGAAAAAACAATAACAAAAAAATCATTAATGACGGTACAAAAATGTCTTCACTTCCCAGAACATGAAGAGCAAACATGAAAAGAAGAACGGTCCACTTTCTGCCACAAAGGTTAGCCAACGGCGCCCTCTGCTGGCCGCTGAGCCATGACACGTTCACACTGCACATGACTGTAGCATCTGAATGACTGACCGGAGTGCAGAATGGTCTGCTGGTCAGATATGCATGTAGTCTTGATTTTATTCGTCCAGGTTTTGGAGACATCAGCCTTTGAGATTTCTGCCCTGGCCAAAAAAATCCAATGAAGTTATGGAATTATTTTCCACACAGAGAAATATGGAACACTTTCAAAAGAAAGGTCTGTGGATTATCAAAACTGGGGTACTGATCCTGGGAAATATTGCCAGTGCTTTGTGTGCTTAGTGTGCTTTGATCACACAGCATCTACAATGTCCGTCTATCCTCTGTTGCTCTCCTTTTTGTATTCCAAATTAAACGTGTTTTTTTCAGGGGAAGTTTTTCCTCATTCAAAATGAGTCTAAAATTCACAATAAACGGACTGACGTCCTAGTGGGCTGCCAAGTTTAAAAGGGTTAAACCTATTGCTGTGAGCAGCGCCGATACAATTCTGTTCCAATCATTGTTTTGGGGGAGGAGCCTAAATTCTCAGAGACTGGACAAAAATGCTGATTTTGCTGAAATCTCCAGTGGCTTTGTTTATGCTTAATGTGACTTTTGCAGATAGCGTGGTACTAATCTACTTTAACCAACCCGTTGGACCCGAGAGCCCCCCACGGGGGGCTGTTTTAGAGTGTGCAGCATTCAGCGTGTCGTAGAAAGCATTTTTCATAAAGAAATATGATTATTGCTCCAGACATATTAAATATCGAATTAACGGGAAAAGTCTGAGCAACATCATCATACCAGCCATTGTAAACACTGCAAACACAATTATACATGAACTAATATCATATCTGGAAGATTTGCCACAATTTTGGCCAAAAATCGACGACCTATGCTCACTCTATGGCTCTCTCATCACGGAGCAGGATCGCACATGGCGGATGAACACATGCAGGAGGGGCACGATTCGACCCGGAAACGCACAGTGGCGTCCAAATTACTCTCTTTCAAACCGTTCAAAAGTTATGGGTATGCATGCCAACATCAGCCGCAGGTCACGAGAAAAAAAATTGGGTAAAAAAAACTTACGTTTTGACAGTTTTGGCGATGAAAAACGGATTTATTCGAGCCGATTTCTGCACAGCTCTGCCCGCCATGTTCTGCTGCATGTCTGTGAGTGAGATCAATGCGCTGGCGGAATGAATCACAAAATGGCAGACGATTCTGTGGGGTGGAGCAATCCATGTAGAGAGGGGGGTTCGCCCAGCATTTTGCAATTTTTAGTCAGTAAACAGACCCGGATACGATCAAACACCCCTGCATGGCTCCCGTTGGACTATCCCGCATCTAAAAATGTCTCACGCGAGTAAATCGGCCTTACCAGGGTCACATAGACACACATTATGGGCCATTTATTGTTATGAATGACAGATATGACACATCATAACTGCTCAAAATTATTCAAAATGGTGTCAAACTGATTTATTAGGATTATTGAACACTCTTAGTGATAAGAAAAGTGAATATATAGTTAATATTTAGTTATATAGTATATAAAATTAGTATACAGCAATGCAACAGCTGGTTCCATCCATCCATCCATTTTCCACCGCTTATCCGGGGTCGGGTCGCGGTGGCAGCAGGTCAAGCAGGCCGACCCAGACCTCCCTCTCACCGGCAACATGTTCCAGCTCATTCTGGGGGATCCCGAGGCGTTCCCAGGCCAGCTGGGAGATGTAATCTCTCCAGCGTGTTCTGGGTCTTCCCCGGGGTCTCTTCCCAGTTGGACGTGCTCCATCTTACCCTCACTCGTGAACAAGACCCCGAGATACTTGAACTCCTTCGCTTGAGGTAGGCACTCCGTCCCCACCTGGAGGGAGCAATCCACCGGTTTCCGGCAGAGAACCATGGCCTCAGCCACAGCTGGTTCCGAAAATCAAAATTTGGATTTTTATGACCATTTATGCTGGCCTGCTTCACTCAATCGAAGTAAAATATGTTGTGGGGACATGTAAAACGTGTTGTTCTATGTCTGTGGTGTAGTTTTAGGCTTGCAGCTGCATTATTTAAAAAAAAAAAAGTTCAATACAAGTGCTTTTTTTCAGGCGAACCTAGAAATTTTTCAATTTGAGCTGTGTGTGCATAAGTGTATCAGTTATTAACCAGTAACATATACACAATATTTACACAATTCAACACATCTCATAAGTGTTTCCAGTATTCTAGCATAAAAATTATTAAAATAGACCTTGTAGTTAGAGCTCGGGACTCTCTTTAGTATGGGTATGCAATTTTCGAGCAGAGGGCTAAAAATAGGGCTAGGTACCAGAAGGTTAAAAAAAAATACAGGAAGAGACAACAGGCGATACAAAACAATATATATTTTTTCTCATTGTTTTATCAGAGCAGCGCTGAACATGCTGCACCTGGATTACAGGCTGAGAGAACAGGAAGAGGGTTTGTACTGTTTGTAATGAGTTCTCAAAGGAGCGCCGTGTGTCTCGGGAAGAACGAACACGCACACTCACGCACTGGGTGCTAAGTACGTGTACATTCATTCACACACACACACACACACACACACACACACACACACACACACACACCAAACTGTGCTCTATTAAAGCGGCAGATTATCAGAAACATGCTCCATTGTGGTAGATCAGAGAGCTTTTTAATTAAATTCAGAGAGAAGGCTCTCTACATAACACACACACACACACACACACACTCTCTCTCTCTTTTGTTTGTTGTCATGCTACAAGCACATCTCACCTCTTCTACATGTATTGTATACTGAACCCTCTTCACCGGCTTCTGTCCACCCCTGCACGATTCTACTGTCTACTGTCAACAACCTCACAGCTACATTCAATTCACCCAGTCCAGCGTTCTCATAATCAACCTGTCCATTCAAACCCCCCCCCCCCCCCCCCCCCCCCCCCCCCCCCCGTCCTTCAACAGGGAACGTCCAATCATAGCTTGGCAACCGTAACCAGGCTCGGCAACCTTTGGTTTTCTCAACACACTAAAGCGATGCTGCGCTTCAAACGGTTGGTGATGTCTCTTTTAGAAGGTTGTATCTTCTATTTTTTTAGGCTTTCCAAAACATGCAGCTTGGACCTCAGTGTTTTACCACCATATCATGAATGTAGCCATCAACTTTCAATTTAAGAGCAGGGCTCTTGTTTTAAACGTGAAAAAGTCAGCCAGTGATGCTGTTTTCAACCAACTCGTGGAGCCAACGTTAGCTCAATGAGCTAGTTGGCTACTGCTAATAAAATCTGCTCGTGGCGGCTGTCATTTCGTTCGGCAAATTGACCATCGGCAGTTGGAAATGAGAAGCATCAGGGACCTGTTGTTTCAAAGATTACTGTGGAACACCAGCATTATTATGGTAAACTGCATATGCGCTGAGCAAAATCAGAAAGTTTGACAGGCGTAGAAAACAGTTCTCTTGGGGGTACAAGTCCCGGACCAATTTGGAAGGTCATAATAAGAGACCTGGTCTGAAATTAGCCTGAGGCTCTTTTGAGACGATCCGATTAGTTTGAGTCCATCACAAGTCCGATGGAAAATCACTTGAGCGTCAGCATTACTCTGGTGGGAAAGAATCTATCTAAATATGTGATGTGTTCCGTTGCCGGGATTTTTGAAAGTCCTTTGGTGTACTGCAGCTCTGCGAAACAACAGTGAAGTCAAACACACACACACACACTCAGGTGGAGACAGAGCAACCAGTGAGTCAGAAGGTGAGCAGGTGTTCAAACAAAGCGACTGTGCTTTCATCAACCCACCACCTCCATATCCCAGGTGGAAAGAAAGAGCGCGCACGCACGCACGCACACACACACACACACACACACACACACACACACACACACACACA